AGCTTCGAATGGTTGCTAAACAAGTGGTTGAAAGTTGAGGATTATCTGTACACTGTTTCTCAACCTGGCAACTTTAAGATGTCCTGGACCTCAACTCCCAGAATTCCCCAGTCAGCACATTTGAAGAGATGTGGATTTCCACTCCCAGCATTCCCCAGCCAGCATGCTTTTTATTCGGGTGGACTTCAGCTCCCAGCATTCCCCAGCCAGCATGCTTTTTAGATGGGTGGACTTCAGCTCCCAGCATCCCCTAGTTTGTACGCTTGAAGAAGGTGGACTTCAACTCCCAGAATTCCACAGTCAGCACATTTGAATATGTGTGGATTTCCACTCCCAGCATTCCCCAGCCAGCATGCTTTTTATTTGGGTGGACTTCAATTCCCCAAATTCTCCAGCCTGTATGCTTGAAACTGGAGTTCAACTCCCAGAATTCTCCAGTCAGCACATTTGAAGATGTGTGGACTTCCACTCCCAGCATTCTCCAGTCAGTTTCCTTTTTAGATGGCTGGACTTCAATTCCCAGCATTCCCCAGCCTGTATGCTTCAAACTGGAGTTCAACTCCCAGAATTCCCCAGTCAGCACATTTGAAGATGTGTGGACTTCCACTCCCAGCATTCCCCAGCCAGTTTCCTTTTTAGATGGCTGGACTTCAACTCCCAGCATTCCCCAGCCTGTATGCTTCAAACTGGAGTTCAACTCCCAGAATTCCCCAGTCAGCACATTTGAAGAGGTGTGGATTTCCACTCCCAGCATTCCCCAGCCAGCATGCTTTTTAGACGGGTGGACTTCAATTCCCAATTCCCAGCATTCCCCAGCCTGTATGCTTGAAGCAGGTGGACTTCAACTCCCAGCATTCCGCAGCCAGCCACCCATCTTAAAGTCGCCAAGAAACAGCGCAGCAGAGGGCAGTAGAGGATCGCCCATAGCTTTGCTATCCTAAGGTCGTGAGAAACTCCGCCACCTGCTCAGCGGTCATGCACGTCATCGGTGCAATTGCTAAATCCCGGACTAGACTGATAATCAATCACTCTCTCCTTCCCTCCCTCCCTCCCTTCCCCAATCAATCGATCAATCAGTTTCTCGTCCGATGACAGCCCAAAGGGTTACAGCTGATCAGAAGAAGGGGCGGGGCTGGACGGGTAGGTGGGGCTTGTGCCCGGAAGGGCGTGACGTCACTGCAGGGGGGGCTCAAACGACCTCACGTGCTCTCCAGGAGTCACGTGGCGGCGGCTGCTACTTGTGGATGGGCTTCCCCGCAAAGGGTAAGGACTATTTCCAGTGGGAAGGCGAGGCTGGCCGTGGAGGATGGGAAGTGTAGTACAGCACATGCGCAAGGCGTCGGCTGTGTGGGCGGGGCGGTGCTCGGCTTAAGCCTCGTAGTTCCTTGGTTTCGGGCGTTGATTCCCTATAGCAGGGGTCCCCAACTTTGGCCACTTTATGACTTGTGGACTTCAACTCCCAGAATTCCTCAGCCAGGAATTCTGGGAGTTGAAGTCCACAAGTCATAAAGTGGCCCAGGTTGGGGACCTCTGCCCTATAGCTGATCTTCTAATGGTGTGGAACTACAACTCCCAGCATGCCTCGCCTGGGTATTGCAATTGTTACAGCCTTCCCCCGTAAAATCCCCTGATTAATTTGTCGTCCCGCTTTCTCTCCGGTGCAGATTCCCCAACCTGGGGAATTGAAAACTCTGCCCCCGTAGTACTTTTCTTCCTTTTTTTAAAATTGCAAACCAGAAATGTTTCTGACTGGATGCATTTCGAAGTGTGAGTCCTCTTGGCTTTCAGTTTGTTTGAGGTGAGGTTAGAGCAGGGGTCTTCAAACTTGGTCCCTTTTATGACTTGTGGACTTCAACTCCCAGGATTCCTCAGCCGGCGTGCCTGGCTGAGGAATCCTGGGAGTTGAAGTCCACGAGTCATAAAAGAGCCAAGGTTGCCTACCCCTGGCCTAGGGTGTGCAGGGGGTCCATTCTGCAAAACTTGGGTTTGATTGGAGCTCTGCATGAAAAGAACTATGGCTGGGCCTTTGCAAAGTTGTGTCTACTGTCTTGTAAGATACAGGTAGTCCTCAACTTATAACAGTTCATTTAGTGACCATTCGGAGTTACAACGGCACTGAAAAAAGTGACTTGATCGTTTTTCACATGACCATTGCAGCATCCCCCGTGGTCACATGATCAAAATTCAGATGCTTGGCAGCAGACTCGTATTTATAACGGTTGCCGAGTCATATGATCATCTTTTGCAACATTCTGATGAGCAAAATCAATGGGGAAGCCTGATTCACTTAACAACCAGGTTACTCGCTTAACAACGGTTCACTTAACTGTGACAAGAAAGGTTGCAAAAGGGGACAAATTCACTTAACAACTGTCTCGCTTAGCAAGAGAAATTTTGGGTTCCTGGGTTGATGTAAGTCGAGGACTACCTGTACACACACACACACACACACACACACACACACACACACGGATCCTGTAGAGGCCCCTGACCAGCCAGCTAAAATGCCCTCTACCACAAAGATCCCTGGGCAGGTTCCATCAATTCCAAAGGACTTAACCTTACCCAAAAGATCTGTTGGGATTCCTTTATCTCTTAACTGCACCTTTTAATTGTTTTGCTCATGTTTTCTACAGACAGAGCCACAACCCGAAATGCCGAAGGGAGAAAAGAAAAAAACTCCCAGCTCTGCACTTCTACCCATTAGCAAATTCCGAAGGAAATTAGTGGAGAGTATTCAAGGCAACATCTTTGTCGTGGTGACGGGTGAGACGGGAAGTGGGAAAACCACCCAACTTCCCAAATATTTATTTGAAGAAGGTAAGAGCACGTACACACGAGTGTATCCCACTTCCAAGATTCACGGGTGTGGGCAGTTGCCGAGGCTTATGTAGGAGAAGAGCGGGCAGAGTTGGGGGGGGGGCAGAGTTAAGTGTGTCAGCAGCTTAGAGTCATTACATTGTCACAAACGGTCCAACTCTCCTAGAATTCGGTTGACGTTTATCTGGCGCCAATTTAGTATGGAACTTTAGTTCAGATTCTTGTATACAGGCGGTCCTTGTTCTCTCCCAGCCCATGTGAGTCCTTGTTAATTTCACAAGGACAAACCCCTCTTTAACAAGTAGGCTGGAAATGCAGGAAAAACAAACCCCTTTTATTAATTAGACCTGCAAAATGTCCCCAAAGCAAAAACAAACAAAACACGATGCAAACAGAGAATTGTCCCAAGGCAAACAGAACACAACTCAAACGGAGAATTTTCACAGGCAAGGCAAACAGAATCTGATTCCATGAAACTTGAGTTCTTTGCAAACGGTTGCCTTCAGCAACCAGCACCACCCAAACCTTCCCTTTTTATTGTGCAGCCCCAAGGCGTGGCTTCTCAATGCCTTCTCCTCCTCCCTTGGAGCCACCCCATTGCTTCCCTCTGTCCTGCTCTTGTTGCCTGTCTGTGTTTGCCAGCGTCTATGATGTCTTCCAGCTGTGAGTCCTCAGAGTCTGACTCAGCTTCCCCGCACAGCTGAGTCTCAGCCTGAGCACTATTGGAAGGGCCAGGCTCTTCATCAGGTTGTAAGTCCTGGAGCTCATCAGAGCCTTCCTCCGACTCTGATGGCTCTCCAGGCCCCTCCTCCTCCTCCTCCTCTGTTTCCCGGACTCAGCTGCTGGGTCCAGTGGCTGGCACAGACTCACAACAGTCCTCGACTTATGATCACAATTGAGCCCAAAATTTCCTTTGCTAAGCAAGAAAGTTTTTAAGTAGGTTTTTGCCCCATTTTACGACCTTTCTTGCCACGGTTGTTAAGTGAATCATAGCTGTTAAGTTAGTAACATGGTTGTTAAATGAATCTGGTTTCCCCATTGACTTTTGTTTGTCACAAGGTTGCAAAAAGTGATCACATGACCCCTGGCAGGGTGATCTCTGCTCGTTGTTATTCTTCCCTTCTAAAAAATCAGTAATGTTTTGTTTTTTTTTTGCTTGCTTTTCATAGGGTTTGCCAGGCAGGGCACCATTGCTGTGACACAGCCACGGCGTGTGGCTGCCATATCCGTGGCTGAAAGAGTGGCAGAGGAACTAGGCTGCCCAGTGGGGGGCCTTGTGGGATACCAAGTTCGCTTTGAGGAATGCATCTCAGAGGTATGCATTCGAATCCCGCTTATTCTTGGAATTTATTATTATTTATTGTATTTGTGTGCTGGGTTTTTTTTTTCAAGTCAAAAGAGATTCCTGGCTTACGTGTAGTAGCAGGATAATGCCTGTTTTTGGGTTTACGGTCAAAAACAGGAATGACGCAGCATAACAAGGAAAAAAGAATGAGGAGGGGAAAGGGGGGGAAATCCTTGAATCTGATAAGTGGATATTTAAAACAAGTTCCTCTTAGTATTTAATAAAAAGTATATTTTGTTTGAATTTCAAACAAGGTCAGCCAGATATGTAGAGTGGATTTGAAATTTTTATCCAGTGACTTGAGTCTTTCTCAAGGTCTTGGAATAGGCAGATGTAGTTATTTGATGGTATTAAACAGGGGTCTTCAAACTTGGCCCTTTTATGACTTGTGGACTTCAACTCCCAGAATTCCTCAGCCAGGCATGCCTGGCTGAGGAATTCTGGGAGTTGAAGTCCACAAGTCATAAAAGGGCCAAGTTTGAAGACCCCTGATATTAAAGGTATTGTCCCAGGACAAAACTGTTCCAAGTCAAGCTGCCTTTTGCAATTGACTGATGGAGATTTTGTCAATGCCAAGGGTGCTCATGTGGTGTTCCAGATGTTTCGGGATTTGTACCGAAAGCAATCGTGACTATCTTTGTTTTCTTTTGCTGTTCTTTTTACTGATCTTTGTATTTTGTGATTTTTCCCCACTCTGCTCAGGTCCTGCCATGTCCACTATCCAGACTTTTTTGTCTTTCTTATCAACAGTTGTTAAGTCTGGGGTGTCATGCAGCAGGTGCCTGTCTGAATTCTAAAATCCCAAAGCAATTTAGCTTCTATTACTTTTAGCTTTTCTATTACTTTCCCCTATTTTATGGCCCTACCAGTTCTTGCTTGCAGGCATGTGGTATTTCTTGCAAATCTTCCAATGCGCCCTTGTTGCTTCTTTGTCGTGCCGCTGCTTGTAGTCAGTGTGGGTGATCTCCTTGCAGCAACTAACCAGGCGATCCACTGCCTCTTTCTTTTCCAGTCTTCTTTGCAGTCTTCTTTGCAGAAGTATCGCTATCACTAGCTTCTCAATTTCTGTTTTGTATGCATCTTAGCCATTGCCTTGCCTGCTGCTTTTCTTTTTTAAATGTACTGACCATGTAATATTTTGTCTTGCCATGTCTCTTTTCTGTTATTATTGTTTGTCGCGCAGTGACCAGATGTTTAGATTGGTTATTATTACTTTTTTATTATAAGACTAGCTGTACCCGCCCACGCGTTGCTGTGGCTCAGCCTGGTAAAAGCATGTGTTGCTTTTACGTCCAACAGATGGCGCTGTTTTTCAAAAAAAGCATGTTTTTACCTGTCACAGGTGTGACATCTATATAATAGTAGGTATATAAAAACACGCGAGTATTCGAATGCAATGTGGTGTCAAAATTTCAAAGCAATCTGTGAAGAATTTTCGGAGATTTAAGATTTTGAACAAACGAACATTTACATTTTTATTTATATAGATAGATTTTATTAGTTTTTTCCATACATATAATAATAATTTTTCAACCAACGTGTTGTCTGAGTTTAAATACGCGAATACATATTTAATTCCTAATCCTTTATTCTTTTCTCTAACCATCGGTAAAGTAAGTCCCAAATTTGATAATATTCTGTTTCTTCTTTTTCTTTCAGTCTCATAGTCAATCTGTCCATCTCTGCGCATTCCAATATTTTTTTGATTATTTCTTCATCTGGTGGTATTTCTTCATTTTTCCAATACTGCGCAAATATTATTCTTGCCACTGTTGTGACGTGTAAAATCAAATATAGGCTTTGTTTGTTAATCTTTTCTGGCATTATACTTAATAAAAAAAAGTTCAGGTTTAAAATCTACATGTTTTCCCAACATCTTTTCAAACCAAGGATGTATCTTTTTCCAATAATTCTTTTGCTTTATCACATGTCCACCAAACATGATAATATGTGCCTGAGTTATGTTTATATTTCCAACATCTATCTGACATGTTTTTAAACATTTTTGCTAATCTTGTAGACTGGTTATTATTATTATGGTTGGTTGCAAAGTCAGATTGTTTAGACTGGATTTGGCATTTTTATCCACCTCTACCTTCTTCCCAAGGACCTGATTATGAAATGATATGATGATTAGGTTTTTTTTCTGAGGGAGCAGGAAGGCTGAGCGGTTAAAGACGCTGAGCTTGTCAGCTGGATCCGAGCGCCACATGATGGGGTGAGCTCCCATCCTCGCCCCAGCTCCTGCCCACCTAAGCAGTTCGAAAGCATGCAAATGTGTGTAGATAAATAGGTACCACTTTGGTGGCAAGGTAACAGCGCTCTGTGGCGTCATGCTGGCCACATGACCATGGAAGCATCCTTGGCAAAACTGGCTTCCTTGGCTAAATAATGGAAATGAGCATCTCCCCCTAGAGCTGGACATGACTGGATAGGGCAGGGGTAGGCAACCTTGGCTCTTTTATGACTCGTGGACTTCAACTCCCAGAATTCCTGAGGCAGCATGGCTCAGCATGGAAACCTCTCCCTTTCCCCTCAGCATGGCTGGCTCAGGAATTCTGGGAGTTGAAGTCCACGGGTCATAAAAGAGCCAAGGTTGCCTATCCCTGGGATAGGGGAAACCTTTACCTTTATTTTTTATTTACTTTTTTAGTTATTAAATAAAAAGTATTGTCTTTCTGAGTGGTGGATTTCCTTCCAGGAGCGTCAGGAGTTTTCTTTGCTGTAATCAAAAGGATATCGCTGACTAAATATTGATTCTAAACGTCCCAGGAAACTGCAATCAAGTATCTGACAGACGGGTGCCTGTTACGGCAGATCTTGGCAGACCCACATCTGACCCAGTACAGCGTCGTCGTTCTGGACGAAGCTCACGAACGGAGTCTCTGCACGGTCAGTGCTAATAAAATAGGCAGATTAAGATTTATTTCTCTGGCTTGGTGGAAGCTGAACCAGCCAGCCAGGGTTTAAGCATCGTGGGCACTTTGCTCTATGGTGGGCTCATAAAAGACTTCCTAGATCTGAAAGACACAGCATAAGAAGAAGGGGGCGTGGGAGGGAGAAGGAAAAGTGTAAGCTCAGCACCCAGGATAGGGGTAGGCAACCTTGGCTCTTTTATGACTCGTGGACTTCAACTCCCAGAATTGCTGAGCCACCATGGCTCAGCATGGAAACCTCTCCCTTTCCCCTCAGCATGGCTGGCTCAGGAATTCTGGGAGTTGAAGTCCACGAGTCATAAAAGAGCCAAGGTTGCCTACCCCTGACCTAGGACTTAATGAAGTTAAGAGAATGCAGCCAAGGTCAAAACAATACTTTGGGGCTTCAATTCCACGCTGGGTGGCATTTTGAGGTTTCTTTGTTTTTAATCCTCCCATGGAATTTCATTACATCCTTTCCATTCTGGAGTGTGCAGTATAGGTAGTCCTTGATTTATGACTTCAATGGAGCTATCTATCAAGGTCATAAGTCATGAAGGTTGTAAAACAGGTCATTCATGTGACCAATCCAATTTTATAATAATAATAACAATAAAGTTGGAAGGGACCTGGGAGGTCATCCAGTCCAACCCCCTGCTCAGGCAGAAAACCCTATACCATTTCACACAAATGGCTGTCCAGTCTCTTCTTAAAAACTTCCAGTGTTGGAGCATTCACAGCTTCTGGAGGCAGGTTGTTCCACTGGTTAATTGTTCTAACTGTCAGGAAGTTTCTCCTTAGTTCTAGGTTGCTTCTCTCTTTAGTTAGTTTCCATCCGTTGTTTCTTGTCCTGCCTTCAGGCGCTTTGGGGAATAGCTTGACTGTCTCTTCTTTGTGGCAGCCCCTGAGATATTGGAACGCTGCTATCATGTCACCCCTCGTCCTTCTGTTCGTTAAACTAGACCAGGGGTAGGCAACCTTGACTGTTTTATGACTCGTGGACTTCAACTCCCAGAATTCCTGAGCCAGCATGGCTCAGCTTGGAAACCTCTCCCTTTCCCCTCAGCATGGATGGCTCAGGAATTCTGGGAGTTGAAGTCCACGAGTCATAAAAGAGCCAAGGTTCCCCACCCCTGAACTAGACATACCCAATTCCAGCAACCGTTCCTTGTATGTTTTAGCCTCCAGTCCCATCATTATCTTTGTTGCTCTTCTCTGCACTCTTTCTAGAGTCTCGACATCTTTGTTACATAATGGTGACCAAAACCAAAAAAATTTGACAATCTTTTTTGCGGTAGTCATTAAGTAAATGCATTGGTCGTTAAGTGAACCAGTGGTTTGCTATGGACATGGTTTTGCCAACATCCGGAAGTGCCAGTTTTCAGCAAAACCTTCATAAAACACCGTCACGTGACCACGGGAAGTTGCAAACAGCCATAAATGTGGCCGTTTTACTGAGCACCCAAAGTTCAGTCATGTGACCGCAGAGTAGGTGTGACCGTCAGAACTTCGAATCTGGGTAATATGTAGCCCTAAGGTAGGCTGGTTGTCACATTGAACAGATGCTAAGCCATCGGTCATAAGTCGAGGATTGCTTGTAGTATATTCCCAGTCTTTTTTTCCTTTTAGATTAGATTCCCCTACTGGGTGCCTCTAATTCCTGTGGACTAGTGACTTTAAAAGTTTTGAGAGCCTGCTAAAATTCCAGCATGAATCAGATTTGAAGCTTCTTCCTTGCTGTGCTTTTTTTCTCCATCAGAGAATACTTTAGGGTAGTCCTCGATGTACAATTGTTCATTTAGTGACCGTTCAAATTTACATGGGCACTGAAAAAAGGGACTTATGACCGTTTTTCACACTTAAGACCGTTGCAGCATCCCCTTGATCACGTGATCAAACTTCAGATGCTTGGTGACTGACTCATATTTATGACGGTTGCAGCGTCCCAGAGTTTATATTCTATATCCGTGGTGGCGAACCTATGGCATGCGTGCACAGGTGGCACACAGAGCCCTCTCCGTGGGCACACACACCGTCGCCCCAGTCCCAGGCCTTCAGCTGAGTTTTATAAAACTTTTTCGCTTTAGGCCTCCGCCGCCCTGTGCAAAAAAAAATATCAATCAATCAATCAATTTCAACTTCTCGCGGGAAAAAAAAGATCTCGCCAAGTTGGAATTGATTGATTGAACTTTTTAGTCCAACCCAGTCTGCTGTTACCACAGCAGCCACGCCCACCCAATAGGCCACACCCACCCAATGGGCCACGCCCACCCGGCACCCAACGATACATAAGTGGGTTTTGAGTTGCAGTTTGGGCACTCAGTCTCTAAAAGGTTCGCCATCCGTGTTATATATTCTACTTTTACTAATGAAAAGGTCAACTTAGGATTGGCTGTGAAAGAGCACCAGTTGGTTCCAGGTTTGAAAGTGGATTGTTTTTTTTTCAAAATGTGGACTTTAGCAGCACCGCTTCTCTTTCAGGATATCCTCTTTGGCCTATTGAAGCAGCTGCTCCATCGGGAAAAAGAAGTCAAGAGGAAGGAACCCTTGAAGGTCGTGGTGATGTCTGCCACCTTGGACGTGGAGAAGTTCTCGGCGTTCTTCGGGCATTGCTCGGTGGTGGAGATCCCAGGAAGAAAATACCTGGTGGAGGAGGTCTTCTGTGATAGTCTGGGCCCCAGAGATGCCAACAGCTCTGCCTTCATCACAGAGGTACTGGATGGTCACTTTCGTTTTATTTATTTGAGGTGTTCTTGGTGGTCTTGGAGCTTGGTTGTTACCCAGCTAAGTAACATCATCAGTGCTAGAAGGGAATGGGGTGGGAGGAGGAGGAAGAGGAGGAGGAGGAGGAGGAGAAAGAGGACTGTGGGGTCCTTAGTGCTCTCTAAGCTTGCTT